TTAAAAAATAAATTATCTGCAAGGTTGCAATTTTTGTTTATTTTTACGTTTGTATGTTATACCATACATATAAATTGCTAAATGCGTTAAAATCCATAAGTACCAAAAATAAGAAATCAAAAATAAAGCTACTAAATATTAATGCCTTTTTCATTACTTTTCAACAAATTTATAACATATTAACATAGGCTCACAAAAAGTCATAACCTAATATATATATATATATATATATATATATATATATATATATATATATATATATATATATATATATATATATTATATATATATATCATTATATATATATATTTATATCATTATATATCATTATATATATATATATATATATATATATATATATATATATATATATATATATATATATATATCGATATATATCTTGCATAGAATACGCAGTATTCTATGCAAGATATATCGATGATATATTCTTTGTATACACGGGTAGTGATGACAAACTTACCCAATTCCTTATGACCCTAAACACAGTGCACGACTCAATTAAGTTTGACTATGAAAAATCCACAACATCAGTAACATTTTTAGACACCTTATTTACATAGATGAAAACAGGAAACTACAAACGACACTACACACTAAAATCACCGACACCCACAACTATCTACACTTTAAGTCTTCACACCCTAAACACCTCAAAGAGAACCTTCCCTATTCACAAGCACTTAGACTCAGAAGGATATGTTCCAACAATGAAGAATTAAATAAACACATTGTAAATCTGCAGCATCAATTCACAACACGTGGCTATAAACAACACCTAATCAGGGAACAAATAAATAAAGCAATTTCCACACCTAGAGAAGACACCCTAATGTACAAGTTTAAAAATAAATCTAGCCGCATCCCTCTAGTAACCACTTTCAATCCCACTCTGCCTCCACTATCCCAAATAATCAAATGTCGCTGGGAAATACTACATCTCAAACCAGACCTAAAAAAAACTGCTTAAGGAACCCGGCCTTCTTGCATATCGCAGACCTAAGAACCTAAAAGAAATCATAGGTAGTAACCACATTTCAGGGGACAAGGTAATTTGTAATGAACTAAGAACAAAAACAACAGGATTTTCCCAACCATGTAACAACAAAAGAAGTTTATGCTGCAACCATATTAAAAACACGAATTCCTTCACTAGATCAGTCACTAAATCTACTTTCAAAATCTACCACGATTCTAACTGTAGAAGTCATAACATAATTTACCTCCTAGAATGCACATTAAGCCAGAAACAATATGTAGGAAAATCTGAATGGCCCTTTCACTACAGAATTAATAATTATCGTAAGCGAATTAAATCGACTCCCCATGAAAAATTATTACCTGTAGAACAACATTTCCGCCTGGAAAAACATGATTTCAAAACCCATGCCAAATTCACTATAATTGAGAGAATAGAAAAGTTCAGAGCAGATAACATTAGAAAGATTTTAGAGTCCCATGAAAATAAGTGGATACAACGTCTAAAAACACAATATCCAGCCGGGCTAAATCGTAAATTTAACAACATATAGATAGTCAACAAATCAAAACCTACCTACACTTCTCACCCACACAAGACAGACATGCTTACGGAGGTGTGGAGGCCTCACACTTATACACACACCCACACGAATATACACACTTACACACATCATACTCACTCCCTAAGGAGCCAAATGATAACACACACCTACAGCAATACACACGCTTACACATATCATACTCACTCACTCCCTAAGAACCAAGTTACACACACACAAACACTAAACAGAGACACATCCCCTCACTAGGTCCAATAAAACTGTCAAACTGACCAGAGAATTCAGAATAATATCCAGCTCTTATTTCAGATAACAACTTAAAAGAGACTGTTTGACCAACACAAGGAATATTAAAGGATTCATGTTAAAAAGATAAGAAAATAAAAAATAAAAAACAAATGAAAACTACAGACAAAAGTTCATTTTCTCCATCAAGACATTCATTTCTGTAATTTACTGCTACCAGCAAGCAGAAATATTTCTCCTCCCTATGATGGCCATTTCGGTCGAAACTAGTCGAGGAATCTAAATGGAATAATAATAAAAAAAACGAAAGAATATTAATCTACAACCCAGTGTGTCTAAAGATTTTAATTTTTTAATTTTTTATTTTCTTATTGTTCAATATATATATATATATATATATATATATATATATATATATATATATATATATTGAACAATCGAACGTCTAGGCACAGTGACACAGCGAAACAGTCTGTCTGTGGATGACAATATATATATATATATATATATATATATATATGTGTGTGTGTGTGTGTGTGTGTGTGTGTGTGTGTGTGTGTGTATATATGTGTCTGTGTATGTATATATATATACACATACATACATATATATATATATATATATATATATATATATATATATATATATATATATATATATATTGATTGATTGATTGATTATTAATATTAGTTTTC